CACACACACACACACACAGACCCTCCGGTGAAAAATTACTTTATCTCTACCAAGGAAATCATGCATGCAACAGAATAAACAAAGCCAAACAAATGGCAATATTATAAAGAAACACACTTCTTTACAAAATGGGGCTAATTTAACTCCAAATGCTTATACATTCTGGAGCAAGGCCATTTTTTTTTTTTGCTGCCCAGAATGGATGCCAAAGTGGATATGCATCGGCTGCTCCAATTCATCAGATCAAAACCAGGAAAGAGAGTCAGTATATTGCTCTGAATGGTGGTTCCTGATTTCATCAGTGAAACCACCGAATAGAAGCCATGGGATTACTTCAATCTCTAGTTACTCCACTGAAACACAGGGGACACAACACAACTGAAAACGTTACGTCCACTAGCAGTTTCTAACAGGTGAACAATACTTGCGGAATAAGCATTGGAATGATATTAAGTCCAACTAAATAAAACACAAGTTACCAGTCCTTGATTTACAACCACAATAGAGGCCAAAATTTCCCCTGCTAAGGAAGAACGTTAAGTGAATTTTTGCAATAGCAATAGCACTTAGACTTATATACCGCTTTACAGTGCTTCACAGACCTCTCTAAGCGGTTTACAGAGTCAGCCTCTTGCCCCCAACAATCTAGGTCCTCCCTTTACCCACTTTGGAAGGGTGGAAGGCTGAGTCAACCTGGAGCCTGGTGAGATTCGAACTGCCAAACTGCAGGCAGCCAGTGATCAGCAGAAGTAGCCTGCAGCACTGCACTCTAACCATTGCGCCACAGCAGCTCATTTTGCTTCATTTTACAACCTTTCTTGCCACAGTTGTTAACCGAACCACTGCAGTGATTAGCTTAGTAATTATTGAATGAATCTGCCCCTTGACTTTGCTTGTCTGAAGGCCATGAAAGTGTTGCCATGACCTCATAAATACATGCCAGTTGCCAAGGGTTTGAATTTTGATCGTATGACCATGGGGATGCTATAACAGTGCAAATATGAAAAACGGTTATTTTTCAGTGCTGTAACTTCAATGATGATCACTAAATAAATGGTAGTAAGTCACGGACTCATTCCGTAAACATTAACATTAAATTACTACGATGACCCTCTTACATGTTATAAAACCTAACTTAAGCCTTTCTCGTCTGAAAAAGGGTTTATTATCCCTGATCTTGAAAGCAGGGTGTAGTAACACAATTGATAATCTTTGCTAACCAGTAGCTGCTGCTACACCTACTTTAAATGCCATTAGCTAGGATGAGAAAATTGTCTAATTTAGCATCACATATTCATACAATTCTTGCAGATCAGTGCAGAATTTGAAACAGCTGCTGTGCAATTAGGGCAGAGCACGGTAACTGATAAATGAATAGGTTTATACATGAAAAAAAAACCTTTTCTAAAACATCACGTGGCTGTTAGAAGGACTGAGAAAAAAAATTAAAAAGAGGAAACTTTGACTGAACCTAAGTAATCTAAAATCAATTCAAGCTGTGGGAATTTTTGGGGTGGGGGAAGAAAAGATCATTTGAGTAACTTGGAAAATATTTGTCAGGCTTGCCTCCATCAATAACCAAGAAAGAAAACTCTCAATTCCATTGTTCGTGGAATTAAAACACTTTTAATGTTTTTGAAAAGATAGCAGCGAAAGAAAAGCAAGATCTGAGCCCAAAAGGCGCGAACAAGTACATATCAAATGATTACCCAGCCCCTCCCTCCAACGACCCCACCCCAGTGTTCAATCTACAACTCCCTTAGGTGTCATGTGGATTGCAT